CAACCGTGTCATAGGTGACGTTTTGCGCAGTTTGTGATGATTCGCGTAGGCGTTGAAGCGCTATGCTCCCTGCGGTCGAGTTCGCTTTAAACAACGTTAGTTATGCCCATATAGACTCTGCTATCTTCTAACAAAAATCTCACCTTACCTCGCGTTCCAAACAAACTACCACTATGTGTTATAGGGCTTGGTAGGGATATATTGCAAATCGGCTTGTTTACATCAGCCTTGATACGGTTTAAAAGAGGTAGAAGAGTTTCTCGCAACGTGATTTAATGTCTTAAGATATGTAGGGGACGCAATTACTAGAGCACAAGTAAAACAAAAAAACGAGCAGATGCTAAAAGTGGCTGTTTTGGTTGCAATTAGGTCGGAGATCAAGTATAAACATATGCTTAGTCCTACCGACACTGCAGTGTCCACTTTTTTAAAGAGAAAGGATGCGTCCACCCTTCACTAAACCATTTACGGTCACTGTCAAGAATAGACTTGCTTATCACTATAATTTTCGCTCATATTGAGCACACAATCAGTTCTTTAAGAAAGCTTATTTAAGTTATGCTGAGGTCCTTCTCATGTAACCTTGTAAGAGTTTGCACCGACGACGAGGTCTGTGCCCCGAATTGCTGTAAACAAATCAGCAAGTCCAACGGAGACGGAGCCTTTCTCCGAAATTAGGCATTTTTAATCGCGTAAAGGCGGATTTTTGCATCATATTCAGCATGCACTGGGTCTTATTTAAGGGTTCTTTAGAGACTCTTCGCTTCGATAATTTTTTTCTCGGGGTATACCGGCCATGCCTGCACCGCTAGATGAGAATGGGAATCGTTGGTTTTATGTGGGGACTTTAAAACGACGTCGTTGTCATGACTAATACCAGTATCGTGTAAAGCTGCGAGGGCACCCGAGTCTAAAATCTCATGGCAGTTTATGAAATCTTTCAACAAAATTACCCACCTGCCTCATAGTTTAGAGCATCGTGTCAAAAAAATGTCAAAACCGAATTTTTTTTACACCACTAGTGATGTGGGTTAGCGAGTATGTCACATTCTGACCATCAATTGCGGCTACCGCAGTAGCTGTTGCAAAGTGCGTGCAATCAAGCAATTGTCCTCTGGCCTTAATCTTGGCAAAATCGTACTGAAAGTTGCGGTTTCAGACGCAAATCGGCCACACTTACACTAGCTATTACAGCGTACATACTACTGAGACGACGAGTGCGGTGCTCCCAACAAACAAGTACGTCATCTTCTCCCCCCTTTATTTCGCCTACAAACAATAGAATGAGCATACCCTTAATCGGTAAAACCTGTCCATTATGTACTTGCATCTCAAGGCGTGCCTTGTACAGATTGACATATTTAGCTACAGGAAACTCAAACGAATCCCTGGCCCTTTTTCACTTCCCTAAAAAAATTAGCTTTGATGCACGTTGACGACGTTCGGCCATTTGTTAGCAGAATTGTTCCTCTACAATTTGTGGAGTGAACACATAGTAACGTGGCTCACAAGGGCCGTACTCATTTGTGCATAGCACCGAGCACTTTTTTTCATTGAACTGCAGTTGTTGCTACACATCGAGCGGGTTGGTGATAATTGATTTATCTGATCCGGGTGTTAAATGCAGCGCCAATGCGCATTCGCATTATTATGTGTATGGAACGGACTAGACGTAGCAGGAGGTAGCACCTCGGTCATGGAAGAATTGTTAATTGTCCTTTTATCACCCAGAACACTGTTATAGCTGCCATTGTCTACTACCTCCTTCATCTTGAGTTACACAATTATTTTCAGTGACTTAATAAGTGATGTGATTACGGAGCTTTATATTTATATGTCCGTGAGATTAATATATAGTGCAATGAACTCGTAAAGGAAAAAAAATCACAATTGACGTTGGGGTAAACATCAGTATGGTAGGAGAGGTTGTAAGGGGGTTACACATGGAAGAGTACTTGGTACCCTGTGTCTCAGACATACGGGATGACATCCCACTGAAAGATACCCAAGATTTCGTATTAAACTATAGGGTACTACGGGTGTCAGCCACAAGATAGATAAAAATTAAAGATCATAGTTAGGTATTGAGTACCTGGATTAAATAATATTAGGATTGAGATATTATAAAGAGATAAAACTCAATTAAATTCAGGATCCCTTTTGATCTTGACGAAGACACGTGCCTTGTGGGCGTTTCTGCTTGTAGATCGTTAAGAATTAGCAAAACCCCTTAACTTAGCCACTATTGAAAACGAAGTGCTGCATATTCACTAAAATTTAGGTTCCTTGGAACAAGGAGCTAAAGCTTTACGCTTTCGACTCATGCGGTGTAGATCTTTTTTTTACTAATGTTGCTCGATGAGCATTAAGTCTTCCTTTTACTTAAGAAGCGGCGTAGCTCCGATACATTCTTTGAGTGCCCAGGCATCTGCAAAGTAAAAGAAAGGTTTATTGGATCTCAGACACGTCAACATTATGCCACTGAGGCCTCTAGGTGTCGCGTTGTTTCAGGCCTGCGCACGAGACGCGCCGGTTGAACAGCCCTCTCATTAAGAGGCAACACGTGGACAGCCAGTAAAAATGATGACTTTTGAAGGGCTTAATAGCACGATCAGAAGGACGACTATCCCATCTTTGAACCTTTGCACCACGACATGGCGAAAATGCTGGGAGGAGAGCACCTCTACACCTAGAATATATTCTGTAGGCATACTTCGGCTTGTTGATAGAACTAAGCTTTTCTAAAATTAAAGTTTACTTTAGGAATGCTTCGTTCCGTTAACACGACCAATTGGGGTAGAGACAAAAAGGAGAAAAACACAGCGACCGGCAATCACTAAAAACGGTCCAAGTAGAAAATATGCCTGATACAGCCCACAATGGCGGGCGTCGATATGGAATCGGTCGGCTCGCACGAAAAAGATCCGAATTGTAACGGGGCACTCTTTGTTTGAGTACCCATAACTTCACGTACACTAGTAAGTGCAGCGGAAGCTAATCTACTTGAACGAATCGGTCAAGTGAAGGGTAAAAAGGGAACTATCTTTGATATAGTTAGACTACCAATATAACTTCAGTCTTATTTCAACTATTAAAATTTGTGGTGAAGTGGTCAAAGGTTATCCTGACTAATCGCCTTGATCACCTCGTATGTGCAGGTGGGACCGGTCATGCCGGTCTTGGGACTGACCCCTACAGATATTCCCAACGATAAGCTGGACGGTTTGCAAGTAATCAGTGGCGGTCACAGATTTATGACCACCGGTTAGAGTCACGACGAATGACTGACCGGTCCTGGTCACTATGGACGACCAGTGGTCATAGTCATAATGGGTGACCAGTGGTCATGGTCATGATGGGTGGCCAGTCGTCGAGGTCACGATGGGTGACCAATAGTCATGGTCACGATGGGCAACCAGTGGTCATGGTCACGATGGGTGACCAGTGGTTATGGTCACGATGGGTGACCAGTGGTTATTGTAACGATGGGTGACCAGTGGTTATGGTCTCTGCAAGATGACCAGCGGTCATGTTGGCAGTTAAGGTGATTAACTTCAAGCACAGGGAATGGGTGGTGGCAGGTGAACAACGTAGCAGAAATCTGAGATAGAGAGAAGTGTAAACGTAGTTCTAGCCCCTAATATGCTACTAACGAACAGTATTGATTTTCCTACAAGAGACACGCGTCAGCATTCCTCCGGGATGGAATACTAATGGCCACCCGACGTACAAGGTCTACTGTCGGCGTGTTTGCTCAAGGTTTGTCCCTAGATTGCTTGGCTAAGGGCAAATGTACTCATTCAAGTTAGCCCGCGATCGGAAGCGGTAAGCATACAAGGCAAGGTCTTCTGACGGCTCAAGTGATCAGAAGGACAAGGTGATCAAGGGGTCAGAAGAAAAAGGGGGATCAAGTATCCACTTTTGGGCAAGGTGACCTCAAGGAAGGTCAGGCAAATCTAGGAGAGTGCCACCAGTAACCGTTGGTCGTGTGAAGAATTACCACGTGACCACACCCCACCTATCCTCTACTCGGTCAAGACTAGAAATCGACCTCAAGACACCTAGAAGAGTGCAACCGCCCGCCGACGGGTACACAAGGTGAGAAGGAAAAAGACAAGACACACGGTCCGGAGTACCCCCTCCGTTAGTCGGTCGTCCGGGCGCAAGTGGGAAGTCAGGATCGCTACGTAAATGAGCTAATCTCACTCCACCACAATGGTCCGCGTGCCCGGATCTTCTGCTGCCCCGGGATTTCACCGTGAATCCCATAGCGAAGATGTCAAGGTCAAGATTTAAAGGGGATGGAATTGTCGGCGAAGAAGGAATTGTCGTAGACACGAGATTTTAAAGGAGTCTCAATTCGGCAGAGTTCCAGGAGGAGCTCGAACGAATCGAAATTTAAAGATGAAGATCGCCAAAATGATCTCGAATAAGATATACCTCTTTTCCCTTTTGAGGTCCATTCGGGGACCACCGCGGATCTTACTGCAAAGTACGACCCGCTAGATGAAACACATCCAGCCAAAGCAGGACACGTTTTGTCTAAATAACCATACACAACGAAAAAAATGAAATCAAACGCTACGGCTCCCAAGCTACGCGCGCCTGACTCCGAGGGGGATGATCAAGAAATAAGCAGGGCAGCAGACGTCAAGATGGAAGGTTGGAAGATCGATCATCTGCAACGTCGTTTGCACTGGACCCAGCTTCAAGCGTTGCTATCAACAGACCCAGTGCTGACCATATTGGAACCAGAGCTGATCGGACCGCTTTGGGGACCGACATCGACTCCACAAGCAGCCACTAGCAAAATGGAAGCAGTGCAACGTCTCATTTAATTGCTACAAGGCGCAGGATTTGTGCCGAAGGCGTTTGACGCGCAGGTTCTGCTTGACTGCGGCTTGGATCAAGTGATCACGGCCAGCCGATCACCGTTCAAAGCGCTGGTCCCACTGACCTGCAACTATGACTCCGCTGACCGCGAGCTCACGACCAGTATCATGGTCAAAGAGGAAGCCTGTTCACCCGCGACGTCGTCACATTACGCTTCGGCGGAGTCGATTGTGGACGATAGCGACGACTTGGAAATAAAGCGAATGTCATTAGGACCTTACGGTGTAGTACTTTTACGTGACCACCACGAGCATCCGACTTCAACCACCGGACCGTTGAGACTAACCACAGAGCCAGTCGATGCTACGGATGAGCCCGACCAGATGCAAACCTACTTTTTAAAGGCCATGGAAATGTTCATGCGAGACCAACTGCGACGGCCGCCACATTCTGAGCCGACCAGTCGCCCCTACCCCAACCACAAGGTGTTCGGAGTAAGTATGCCAGACACGTACATGGAATCGGCCGTCTCGCATAGTGGTCACGGTAACATCTATGACCCTGACGACCTCGACATTGACGGCGTCCGTCGACCTCACTTGGCTTATACGGAAGCCATTATGGGAGAAGGATTTGCTGCGCATCAAATTTGCATGTCTGCGATCGCCGATCTAACAGGAGTTCTCAGGCCGCGATCACGATGATGACCGCGCTCGAAGCTGGGTGCGAAAGGTCACATCAGCTTTCTTGCGTGACCAAGCCCCCGATTCGGAGAGGTGTTTGGTTTTTGAAGATTCGATAACAGGCCCAGCACGAATCTGGTACTCTTAGATAAGCCGATCGACACACAATAAGTGGAAAGACGTGCTGACGAGTTTTTTACTACAATACTGTGGACGCGGCATCTCTGCTGATCGCCAGTATTACCGCGCCTGCAAGCGTGCCGATGAAACTCCGCTAGAATATCTCTATCGGTTGAACGTTGCTGGGATGCGAGCAAAAATCCACGTGAAGGACGGGAACGTCGCTGATCGCCGAGAACGCGTGGAACACTAAGCCGAGACACTAGATGACCACTATCTCGCAAAGCAATTGATCTTGCTGCGTTTGGACGACGTGGATACACTGGATTAGCGCTGCACACATACGAACGTATGCAGAAGCGCAAAGACAATCTCCCGATCAATTCGGGCAAATTCCGCTCACGATCAGCGTCTCCATACTCTCCGAGTCCATCCATACCGGCTCGAGCTGTGCGTGCAATCCACGTGGGGGGGTGAGACCAGTTCGTCGGAATCAGATATAAGCAGTGCGGAATCAGACGAAGAACTACGACTTGTTTACAGCGCCATAGCAGCCGACCATACGAATGACCGGGGAAATGATTGTCTGACCAAGCCAAGATCGAATGACCGTGAACGTGATCACGAGCGTGCAGAAGGGCACAAGTTGTGTACTCATTGTGGGTCCAAAAGACATGATGACAGGGGATGCTGGAAACGCCTGACTTGTCAGATATGCGGGCGCCGAGGTCACCCCTCCGACAAGTGTTTCTATGGATGCGCAGCGTGTGGAGAAGTGCACGACAAGGGCAACTGCCCGATATTAAAGTTTTACAATATGTTTTGCAAGTGGTACGTGCCGACCAAACACGCCGGAATGCTTCCTCCCGACGCTGAGAAGATGTTAAGCTAGGACGCTCGCCAGGTTGGAACCTGGTACGAGCCGAGCGTTCTAAGCTATGCATTTTACATTCATTGAGAAAGGAGGGGTTGATAATATTGTTAATCGCCTGACCGGCCGGACTTTCAGTACATGTGATTTGGATTATAGTTCTTGTCCATTAGTTGCAAGTTTGCGGCGACCGGATAAATACGCACGATCACTCAAAAGATGTAGCTCAAGTTGTCTCCTGGCGAATCACGTGGCTACTGGAAGTACCACACTCCAAACAAGTGGTTCAGACAAGCCAAAGCGGGAGAAAAAATAAACAATGAGAAGGCCACCCTATTGTTTGAATCGGGAGCTGAAGTCTCATCCACCGACACCACCTTTGCTCGTCAGGTTGGCTGTGTCATAGATGAGAGTCAGAAGTAAGAATACGTGGGTATCAGAGAAAATTCTTACATGGCAGAAGGCCGCACAAAGGTGAAGATCACGCTGAATGGCTCGTTGGTTGACTACTTTGATGGATGGGTTGGTGACCAAGTGGGACAAGAAGCTATTCTAGGGATGGAATTCATGGTACCGGCTGTAATACGCCTTGACCTGGCAGACGGAACAGTTTGCTTGCTGGACGAAGTCAGAATTCAACGGGAAGGTATTAGATTACCGTATGGGGCGAAGATACAACGAATTGCTGCGGATGAGAAGTATTTGGCGATACCGGTGGTACGGTGGGGTGACTCAGTGGAGGTCTATGTTGGTCGGGGACCACTGCAGTCCAAATTGTGGTTAACGCGCCACGCACGTTGGGTACCCACAACTATGACCGGACTCGAAAGACTTACGTACCTCCGTCTAACCAAAATCACCGATCAAGAGGTGGTTACCCAACAGGGGACGCCGTTCGGGCAATGGATGCCGGCGGACATGATTTCACGGTCACCTGGGTATGTGTCGGTAGGGTCACGTCGATATCAGGAGTGGCAAACACTTGAATACTAAGCTTCTACAGATAGAGATGAAGCAGAAGAAGTACCGGAAGCAGATGTACCATTGGTAGAACGCCAGTCTTACCCAACATCAACGCGGATTCTAAAAGAACCCCACAGGATATGGTAGAGATGACCGTGGGTAGAGAGGAAGCGGAATGGATAAAAACAATGTGCCAACATGTGACCAGGTGGATGACTGGGAGGATCAAGAAGGAACACAACCAGAACGATCATCAGTAGCTATTTACTCGATCGCCACACGTGATACGGGTTGTGTTTGGTAAATGATAGGCAGGAACAAACGAATGAACCCCAGAGGGAAATGTCTACGCGACCACCAACGTCTGCCGACTTGATCAACCCTACTGAGTCGATGATTGATACGACGTTGGTGCACCAGCAGTCCGAAACGCACCCACACGAGTGTGAAGAGAAGCTCACTCCCAAATCGATCAAGGAAATGATACCTGATCGTATGCAAAACAATTTCTATGATTCCCCAGATGAAATTGCTGTTGGGGATGAGGAGGTGTAACGATTGCCCGACCATCTGGGATACCAAGAAGCAGCGGTCACCGGCGAAGGAAAACAGGCGTGCACGTCATATTAACACTCAGGTGGAACATATTTCGCGGAATATATTAGCCGACACATGGCAGACTTACCGGAGGTAAATACGACGCTATGCGAGGTGAAGATTGAGGATTTACAGGTAGGCGAACCAGGGGTTCCATTGACGAAAGATCAAGAATAATTACGCCAGCTGATCTGGAAGAAATGACATCTGTTGGTGGGCAAGGGGAACGCCCTCCCACCTGCGGCTCGAGGCGTGATATGTGACATGGATGTGGGAGGGCGACCCCAATAGCACAACGAGTGAGGCTTGTAGACCCAAAGTTTCGTGAAACGTTAGCGGACCTGATCAAAAGGGTTACTATCGGCGAAGATTATGTGTCCTTCAACCTCGCCGTGGGCATCGCCGATCGTAGTGGTCGTAAAAAAGAATGGGGTGGATATACGACTATGTATAGATTACCGACGAGTCAACCATTTGACGAGGCTGATGGTGTATCCCATCCCCTTGATCAGTGACCTACTGCAGGACCTGGACAAAGCTTTATGGTACTGTTCATTGGATATGGACAGCGGATTCTGGGTTGTGGAAATGACGGAGAGAGCACGAATGATTTAAGCTTTATTACACCTTTAGGTCTGTATGAATGGCTACGTATGCCGTTCGGGTTGAAAAAAGCGCCGCAGATATACCAGCGTATGGTGGATAATGCATTGTACGGGTTTCTCACGATCGGCGAACAGCAAAGATCAAGTGGTCGCGAGGTGTCACAACCGGTCGACGTGTTCACGCACGGCGAGCCGGACCCGCACTGAAAGCCTTCAGGGTCGGGGCGGAGTTCCTATATTGATGACATTCTGATCCTGGTTTCGTCCTGTACGTCCCTCCATCATAAGGTTAACAGACTGTTGGAAGTCTGTGATCATCGGAATTTGTCGATCAGTTTTATTAAGAGTGTGTGGGGACGACGCAAGGTTAAGTATCTCGGGCACCAGGTGTCGATATTAGGAATAGAAGCCGACCCAAAGGATATGGGGTCGTTGGTCAATATTCCATTTCCCCAGACATTGCGGTCAATGCATTCCTTTTTGGGAAGCTTGAATTACTACAGCCGGTTCGCTTAAGATTTCGACATTTACGCCTCAGTCCTGTATGAATTGAGATAGGCGGACTTCCACCAGATTAGGCGGTTGGACAACTCGGAGGATGATCATGCAACAAACCAAGACCAGGATGGTGATACCCAGATCGACGATGACCATGGCCAGAGAATGGTGGGTGGCTGTGACAAACAAATGACAAAGATGGATGGTCATGACCAGCCAAATACAGAGGAATCTAATGACGAACATACAAGTGGTCATCGTTTGAAATAAGCTATGATCTCGTTCACAATGCTGAAAGCAAAAGTTGCCCAGACCCCAGTGATAAGGCATTTTGACCCTGATCGTTGGATAGTGATAGTGGTTTATGCCAGCAAATGGGCTGTATCCGCAGCTTTGTTGCAAGAACACGACGGAGTGAATTGGCCTGTTATGCTCACAAGTCGCACGTTAAAACCGAATGAAATCAACTACGGTGTGGTGGAGAAAGAAGTCCTGACCCTGCCCGGGTATATAATGTTTGTTACACACTACTAGTATCGCGGGACCTTAAGGTGCTCACACGGTATTCAACGCTCGCGTGGTTGATGCAATCATCGAGCCTTAACGGGAGACTTGAAAGATGGGTAGCTTTACTGTCAACTTGGACTCTGGAGATAAACCGATGCAACAAAGGAAAGGACGAAATTCTTTTCCATCTTGCCGCAAGTATCACACCACGGGAGAATGTGGATCAAATACTGATCGCGATCGTGCCACGCAAGCAAACGAGACAGATTATCAGCATGCCGCCCCCTACGGTCAGCTGCGAAGAATCGCTTCTTGTCGTCAGCTTTAAAGGAGCAGCCCGTATCAGGAATAAAGGGGGTGTAACGGGGTGAATCGTTACATAACAATTTATAAGAAATTGTTAATAGAATATAACTATAAGAGTTATATTCTCAGAATATTGTCATAAGGACAATATTCGGTAGCACTTCCAAGTAGTTCCTAATTGGTTGATATAGGCCATTATATCAACCAACGAAGACGCGCCACGACAGACGCACGCAATGAGTGGTGAGCAGATAACTGATTTACACATTTGTATTTAGACATAGTTAGATGAAGATAAATAGTGATTTATTGCAGACATTAACTATTATAAATACAGTTCTACTTTTTACTCTAACCGAGTACTCGCTTCTTCTTACCGTCTTCCTCTGCACGTACGAGTGTACGTGAAGTTACGAGGCACCGCCTTATTCTGTTATCAGAATAAGTAGCTTGTACTGTCACCAGTACAAGCTTCAGGGTGCCCCGTTACACCTGGTAGCACTTCGTAGTCCGTCCAAGGACCGCGTTCACATCCAACATGAATATGTTGGATGATGAAGATGACCAAAGCTTTCACGCTACGCGTGACGGCTACTCCCATTTGAGCGATGTCGAATGGGATGCGGTTGAACGAATGGGTTCGACCATGGGCATCCATGCTGTTAGCGTCATGCTAGAGGCTCTCAATAGAGATGCCCAACATGCTACTATCGCCAAGTTCATTCAAAATGAACTTGACGCAGAACGCGAGAAAGTAGCCTTGCTTCACCAACAAGGTTCTCAACAAGCAGAGTTGTTGAGAGAACAAGGTGCTCAACAGTTTGAACTGTTGAGACAGCAGCAGGCTGCTGCTGGCGGGTCGATGCACTCGCGTCGGCCCGAGACTTTGAAGATTGACATCTCAAAGTATAGGGGGTCGAAGAAGACTCCCTCTTGAGATGGTTCGTCGAATTGGATGACGCCATAAGGGCGCGTCGCATCGACGACGGGGATATGCAAGTTGCATTTGCCCAGTCAAATCTGGCAGGACGTGCCAAGACTTGGGCACTGGGGCTCAAGCTGCACGACCCATACGCGTTTGGGTCGTTGGAAGTCTTCAAGTCGCGGCTCAGACAAACGTTTGAACCGCCTAGAGCTGAGTTCAGAGCTCGAACCGAACTCTTGAAGCTCAAGCAGGGTAAGCGTGATGTGCACGCTTACGCTCAACATATACGACATCTCACGAGTTGTATAAGTTCCAATCCGGTGGATGAACACACGTTGGTTTCGGTGTTCATGCAGGGTCTTGCGGATGGTCCCGTCAAGACTCACCTGTTCCGGCTTGAACTAGATTCACTAGAACAAGCCATTTCAATTGCGGAGCAGGAAGACTTCAGTCTGAGACAGGCTCGCGCCAGCTCGACATCATATCGTCAACCGAGACGATATGACAACGGAGGTCCAGAGCCGATGGAACTCTGTTATGTAGAGAGCGAGAAGGCTCGCTCTACAGGCTACAAGAAGTTGCAGAGATGCAACAGATGTCAAAAGACAGGACACTACGCTTACGAGTGTAGTGCCCCTCGTCCAGTGTCTCGCGACACTGGGCGTAGTGACCGTCCACCCATGAGAAAGGGGCAGGGACGAGGGTCCGCAGTTGGTGCAAAGACGCAACAACGGGATGGACCGTCAAAAAACGGACAGGATCAGTAGGTGCGGAGCACCCTACTGATCCAGCAACGTCAAGAGAATTTGTAGGCCTCTTGATGAAGGTTGCTCCCAACACACAGACGTTGTGCGTTGCTGCTCTAGGTAATGAGATCTCACTCATTACCTTGAAACTCGAAGTGACGAATAAGTTGTCCCTTCGAGCTCTAGTCGATTGTGGGGCGTCCAACAATTTTGTGCGACGCCAATCGCTAGAAGATGGTCACTTTAAATTCAGTGAATGTGACACACCTCCTACGAGGATGACGGTACGTCTTGCGACAGGCGCATCCGTAACCGTCATGAAGCGTATAGTGAAGATTCACTATACGCTAGAAGATACCCAATACGACGATGACTTTATCGTATTGGATTTGGATGACAAATTTGATGTCATCCTTGGAATACCGTGGCTCAGAAGGTACGAACCACGGGTAAACTGGCAACATCGGACAGTAACGATGCCTGCCGCTTGTTCATCAGATGGCCATCTGATGAACGTTTTGGAGCGTCCACAAGCGTGTGGATGTACTACGAGTGAGTGCGATGGCCTCACTTGTGGTACGGTCGTTAGTACGACTGCACAAAACCTTAGTGTACCAAACGGTTACACTTCGGAGCAAAGTTCCGGCGGCTGTGAGGAAACACAGGCTGCGCCGAAGGTCCACCACTCGAATAAGTCGGGTGGACTGGGACAAAGATGTATCCCTAGAGGGGAACATCTAGAAGAGAAACAATCGATCGCTCAGGTTAAGCGAAACGATAATCCTAGATCGACTGGAGAGTCTTTCGTAGAGGATCTCGCTGTGGTTGCGCAACCCCAGCTAGAGGAAGTAAAGGGAATAAGTCCCAAGATTACAAATACGGCGGAAATAAGTTCCCCGAAACCCGCGGGAATAAGTCCCCGGGAAGACGAAGGAATAAGTCCTTCGAAGCCTGAGGGAATAAGTCCCCAGGAAATGACAGAGACATTGAATGTCATAGTCAATAACGGATCATGTGTAGGCGCTTATACACTTGATCTGATTGCACCTCCGAAGTTAACTTTGGAGATCACTCGGTTGCCAAAGCTAGAATCTAAGCGGATCTTGCAAGATCTGCGTAGTAGAAAAGTCAAGCAGATCTGCATACTCGTCGCTGACGACGAGTATGTAACCGACATAAGGTCAGCAACAGTGTTTACTGAGAACGAGAGAGTTCTCAGTAGTTCATCTATGGACGAGAGTGTCCTAGATGAAAAGACACGAATTGAGCGATATGAGTCCCAATCATGGGAATCGCTCAAGGAAAATCCTCTCTATGAAGATTTGGTTGAATTCAAGGATGTATTCCCTGAAACTGTTCCGTGCGAATTACCGAAGGATAAAGGTATTCGACACGAAGTCGAGCTTAAACCAGGCTCGAAGTACTGTGTCATGAAGCAGTGGCCACTGCCTCGTGAACAAGTACTTGCGATCGACAAGTTCTTTGCCGATCGTTTAGCAGCGGGCCATGTGAGGGAATCAACTTCCCCACATAGCTCTCCGACCTTCTGTGTGCGAAAAGCAACAGGAGGGTGGCGGATAGTGCACGCGTTTAACAAATTGAACGCTGCAACGGTACCGGCTCAGACGCCGATACCGAGGAAGGACGTAATCATTGATGGTATGTCAAAGAGTACCATCTTTTCGTCCATGGATTTGATGGATGGCTTCTATCAAATCCTAATGCGGGAACGGGATATACCCTATACCGCAGTTAGCACGCCTAGCGGCATGCTCTGGGAATGGCTAGTAATGCCACAAGGGCTCAGTAATGCCCCTGCCACGTTCAACAGATGTGTATCACATCTGTTGAGACCAGTACGAGAGTTCGCGCCGAGTTATTTCGATGACGTATTCATCCATAGTCGAGCTATGGATGGAAAGTCGGACGTTGAGGTTCACAGGTACCACGTCCGACAAGTTCTTACAATCATGCGAAAGCATCAATTGTATGCTAACCTCAAGAAGTGTATATTTGCAGCAAGCGAAATACCACTTCTTGGGTGCATCGTTGGTAAGAACGGTGTACGTCCTGATCCCGAAAAGATCAAGGCGATCACCGACTGGCCTGTGCCGGTCGATGTCAAAGGTCTTCGAAAATTCCTTGGGCTAGCGGCGTATTTGCATAAGTATTCACGCAATTACGCCGAGATGACTGTACACCTCTCTCGTTTGTTGAAAAAGAACGAGAGGTGGTTATGGAACGCTGAATGTCAACGCTCCTTTGAGGGTATCAAGCAGAGCTTGATACAATCCCCAGTCCTAGCAATAGCCGATCAGGATAGGCCATTTCATGTGGTCTGTGATGCCAGCGATTTCGCAATCGGCTGTGCATTAATGCAGTACGACCTTGAAGGCGTTGAACGCGTCGTCTGCTATCAGTCGCGTCAGCTGCAACCAGCTGAGCGGAACTATCCAGTGCATGACAAGGAACTCCTTGCCATGAAGTATGCACTCGCGAAGTTCAGAGTCTATCTATTAGGAGATAGACCCTTCGTTGTTTACACTGACCATGCGTCCTTACGCACGGCAGTGAACAGCCCGCACCTTTCACAACGAATGGCGCGGTGGTTGTCATTCTTTGCAGAATACAACTTTACGGTCGAGTACAAACCAGGACGACTTAATGTCGTCGCTGATGCACTCTCACGTCGTCCCGACTTTGAAACAGTCGCGAAACCCAACAGTGAGACAGTCACTGTTGCGGTTATGACGTCCTCAGTTCCATCTACAACGTTGTATGATGATGTGAGGCGGGCATACGCCCAAGATGGTGAGATAGTGAAGTTGTTGTCACATCTCTCCCAACCATCTCGAGAATCGTTGAAACGATTGTCGTCTGCGTATCGATCTGCATCAGATCGATACACTACTCGTAACGGTTTACTGTACTATACAGCCGTTTCTGGTGACACACCACGTGTTGTCATTCCAGATGATACTGATCTGCGTTTGCGGATCATGTTCGAGTATCACGATGCTCCTATAGGAGGACATCGTGGCCGAGAGAAAACATATCTCACGGTAAGTCGAGACTTTTACTGGCCCCGCCAGTATCAGTTTGTGCGAAAGTATGTTCGCGCATGCGAAGTCTGCCAACGAGTGAAGTCAAGTCCTTCACTGCGTGCACCTTTACAGCCTCTACCGGTTCCGGCTGAGTGCTGGGAATCCATCTCAATGGATTTCGTCTTCGGGTTACCCAAAGACGCACGCGGGAATACGGGTATTCTCGTATTTGTTGACAGATTCAGCAAAATGGTACACCTTGTGGCTGTACCAGAGACAATCACGGCAAGTGGCTGTGCTTGTGTCTTTATTGACACCATCTTCCGACTTCATGGGTTGCCCCGTGAACTCGTATCAGACAGAGATCCACGATTCACTGCTGATTTCTGGCGTTCCGTGTTCAAATCACTCGGAACGCGCTTGAAGATGTCAACATCTGATCATCCAGAGTCGGATGGTCAGACGGAACGTGCCAATCGTGTCCTTGAAGAGATACTTCGAGGATACGTACACTCCTTTAAGAGTTGGAGTGAGTTTTTGCCAATGGTAGAGTTTGCCATCAACAACTCGGTGCATGCGTCCACGACACATACACCGTTTTACGTGAATGGCTTGCGCCATCCGCGTGTACCCACCTTACTAGAGTGTAACTCTGGTTTAAGGGGGGGAGGGACTCGCGCGAGCAAAAACCGATTTGGTTCACGCTCATCACGCTCTGACGAAGAAATCATTGCGTTTGATGCCGATATCGATAACATCGATATCGAAGAAGATGATCCCAGTGAGAGTGCGGAAGCCCTCACTGAAGACAATGATCCCAGTGAGAGTGCGGAAGCCCTCACTGAAGAAAAGGTTGTTGTTGCTGCAGTGCGCTCACAGCACACTGAAGCTAACGAGTCATCAGATGAGTTCATACTGGCTCGTGAAACGGTAGTCCGTTTTGTGCAAGACTCCATCGCCGAAGCGGTGGATAAGCAAAAGCAAAACGCTGACAAGAATGGAAGGGCAAACACTCTTTTATTTAATAAAGGTGACTTAGTCCTACTGTCTACGGTTAATCTACCAAAACATGTAGTGACTAACTTGGGTAGCAGTAAACTACTACCCAAGTACATTGGCCCATTTCGTGTATTGCACCGCCTAGGCAATGCATACACGATCGAGTTACCACGTAAGATGCGAACGCATCCCACGTTTTACGTTGGTCGGCTTAAGCCGTACCATCAGTACGCTGCTTCTTCCGATGAAGAACGCCCTTGCGCTCAAGCATCTCGCAGAGAGCCTTGTGCTCCCGATGGTGGGCATCAACAAGGGTCTGAAGAGCAGTTATCTCAGCCCGAGACCGATCAACAATCCCACGAGCTACCCTTAGCTCGTCACGAAGAGATGTCAGAGATCTCTCGTTCTCAAGCTGAGCAAAGGCAAACTCAGCTCGATGCTTCGAGGCAGTGTCCACCATCTGGAGACGCCTATTCCGCTCATGCTCGAGATCGTCGCGTAACCCTTGCGTTACGCGATCAAAGAAGCTCTCGGGAACACACCGATCCACATGATCGTGTGGAGAGCGTCTTTCCTCCTCCTCCACCTCCAGTAGAGGACTCTCGCGGTGGCCAGCGCTATCTAGTAGAGCAGCTGTTGAACCACCGCGACGTGAACGGACGTCGGACGAGTTACCTCGTCCGGTGGCGCGGCTATCCCCCGTCCTGGGATTCTTGGGAGCCCCGCTCCCAATTGATGGTTGACGTACTGGGTCTGGTCGAGCAGTACGACGCGACACATCCTGTGCCGCAGAAGGACCGCCGGAGAAAGTCTTCCCGGCACGGTCGTAAAGGGATTTCAGGTTGTCAATCCCTTCGTACATCTCAGTAGAGACACGTACGCGCCACCACGGGCTGGTAAGGAGGTAAGCCTCCTTAGGTGCTCGTGCAGAGTTGTTCACACAACATGGGCACGAGTCTCCCCAAGAGAGGCAGGGTAATCCTTTCTCCCTTGACAGACGATGCAGCTTATAGCGTGCACCTGTCGGGGTTCGCTTTTCAAACTTATCACGAGCTTTGATAAGTTTGTCGTTCCAAGCGTCACGACCTACATCCTCGAGATTATGGATGTAGGCGTTCCACGCCTGAAGTAGTGAGGGACCATCACGTTTGTGATTCCCACTGTACCATCGATGTCTGAAGAAAGCATCGATGAAGAACTCATGTTCAGCGCGATAGTCTTTCGCGCTGGGGTCAAGGTGATGGATCCTTGACGAATCGAACAATCGTGTTCGATAACGATCACTCGTCGTCGCCGACAAGTGATCCATGACGGATTTAGGAGGCATCCATGCCTTCTTTTCTGGAGCGAGACGCAACACATTGCGGTCCCGCTCTTCCTGCGACGTGCCGACAGAAGTACTGGCACCTCGCTGTGAAGTGGTGTCCATAGGAGAACCGACACCACTATTAGCGCCCGAGTCTCGCGACCTCGAGCGCCTTCGCTTCGGCGATGGTTCATCTGACTCATCAGATGAACCAAAGATGCTGCGACGCAAAGCATCGTCCATGCCACGCTTGGCAGGCGGCTTGGATTCAATTGCCGTCGATACGGATCCGTCATCCGTATCAGGAGAGTACGAGACACCGAGCTCGTACTCTGTGAAGACACGAGTGTCTTCATGACCAGCGCCTGCATCACCAGGTGATACAGGCTGAGTCGATTCAGCAACCGATGGGACATCAGTTGCTGTAGTTTCTGCTTCGGCGTCCGCACAGAGACGTGCAGACGCGCTCTCGGCGGCCTTGCTCGCGCATCGCATGGGCTTGTTTACCATGCGATGAGATGTTGGAAAGTGGACGCGGACCAACAAGTGCAAACCCCGTCCCAAATGATTTGGGACGAGTATCCATTTAGTCAATCAGTCACTAAAGTGACTGATGGTTAAGGGGGGGGTGATGTAACGGGGTGAATCGTTACATAACAATTTATAAGAAATTGTTAAGAGAATATAACTATAAGAGTTATATTCTCAGAATATTGTCATAAGGACAATATTCGGTAGCACTTCCAAGTAGTTCCTAATTGGTTGATATAGGCCATTATATCAACCAACGAAGACGCGCCACGACAGACGCACGCAATGAGTGGTGAGCAGATAATCAATTTACACATTTGTATTTAGACATAGTTAGATGAAGATAAATAGTGATTTATTGCAGACATTAACTATTATAAATACAGTTCTACTTTTTACTCTAACCGAGTACTCGCTTCTTCTTACCGTCTTCCTCTGCACGTACGAGTGTACGTGAAGTTACGAGGCACCGCCTTATTCTGTTATCAGAATAAGTAGCTTGTACTGTCACCAGTACAAGCTTCAGGGTGCCCCGTTACAGGGGGCGCCTACAGTGTAATAATATGGAAGCTTCCCGAGTAGACCATAGTATCGGCTGCGTCGCGAAACGACACTGGGTGTTCGTGAACGAGGCAGAGTACCATGGGTTGCTGCTGATTTGCGAGTTGTTGGCCAACCAGACAAGGAAACGAGTAGTCATTTTTGGGGATTCCAACCTGGTCATCAGGCAGATGAGGGGTGAAATTGACTGCAAGGCACCGGGACTGCAGTTACTACGTCTCAAGGCCCTAGATCAACTGCGATCATGGCCGACACATGAATTCTTACATGTTAAGCGCGATTGGAATCAAAGTGCCGATAGACTGGCTAGCTCTGCTTTACAGCTGGAAAAAGGCATGGTCAGGCTAACTGAGCAGGATTGCCATAACTAACAAGCGATGAACCAACTGGACGAGATATTAGTACCAGCGACCAACAATCAAGTGGCCAAGATAACGGCGATCACACTATCATCCATGCGGAGGCGTGAAGTGCCCACGTATATGCAAGAGGAAATAATACAGCAGATGCGACTGGAGCGCATAAAGCAAGCACAAGATGAAGAAAGGCGGATCGCCAACCTCAAACTTTATCTAGTCGGGGATGCTACCGAATTGGATACTACGGAATCAAAAGCAAGTGCGGTTATTGCCCCAGATTACGTTGTGGATGAAGGTGAATTGTTAAATTTTGCCGACGAGTGGCAGCAAACCCCAGTGACCGCGCGGAGCTCGTTCGTTCGGTGGTTCCAACATTACTGCAAGATGATGTCCTACACCACTACCATGCAAGTCTGGAAGGTGGTCACCAGGGGGTAGGCCATATGTATCACCGCGTGCGATCGCACTTTCATTGGAGAGGATCATTAGAAGCGTGCAGCAGTATGTGGGGAAGTGCGTCGACTGCGAAACCGGGAAAGGATGTTCGATCCTACGAGGCGAATCCCCGGGGAATTTACAGGCCACGTACCCGTTCCAGATCATTGCAATATATCATGTCCCCTTGTTACCCAGGTCATTCAAAGAGTATATCGAACACAGTACTCTGGGTGGATTTGTTTCCTGTCTACGTGATCGCTAAAGCTAGATCGTCAAGAACGGCCCAGACGATCGCGGAAGGGTATGAAGAATGTGTCTTTCGGCAGTTTGAGGGAAGTGATTACATTCGTCACGACCGTGAACCCGGATTCATGTCGGATTTCATTCGCACGCTTAACTGCATCGCTGGTCAGAAACAACGTGCCACCATGGCGTATCGGCCTCAAGCCAATGGTACAGCTGAACGTATGGTCCAAACATTGACCAGGGCGCTAAAAATGTATGTCACGGATGTGAACCAACGAGATTGGGACATATATGCTGAATTCCTGACCTTCGCCATCAACACAAGCCCAAGACCGAGTACGGGGTGATACCCCGTTCTATCCATTAGTGGGATCCGCGATCAACGCTGGAAGCGACCCTGTCGTCGGGATGTACTAAATTACGTTATCGGGATCCCCGGAGATGGCGCTATCACATACAGCGGCGATATCAACGAGCCCGCGCTACGGTGAATGACCGACTGAAGTACGCCATTCAAGACCGAGCTGACCAACACAACGTTGATCAAGGGCCAAATGAAATCAGCCGCGGTATTCAAGTGTGGCTATATTTGGATCGAGTGAAGGAGGTATATGCCAGGAAAATGGCTCACATGTGGCACGGCCCGTTTCGGGTGATCGAGAAGTGCGGGGAACATGCAGTGCGGTTGGAGGTACAAGGGACCCCATACCAGTTATTCCCACGCGTTCACGTATCCAAGCTGAAGATAGTACGGATTTCCCCTGATCGACCTGCTGCGCAGCTGGAGGTGGAAGAAACAGAGCGTGTTGATTTTGACGAAGATCTGCTTCCAGAGGACAGCTGGGAAAACGATCTAGCCGAAGGAGAATACGAGGTGGATAGTATCCGAGATGTGGGAACAGGACGAAAGACTCGGTACGGAAGGGTACACCTACAGTTCTTGGTCCGATGGAAGGGTCATAAGGATGAGACTTGGGTGGATGAGGAAAACCTCAATTGTGGTGCTTTATCGCAAGAGTTTGAACGTGATCGAGCTAGGCGAAACCGTTTTTGAAGTGATGCAAGTACATTAAAAAGAATCCAGATGATAGGGTGACCAGGGAAGGTAACCGCGGCCTTGAAGCATGGGGACTGTATGGTCTGTGAGACAATGAGGGATGACCACGTGAACCTTGAATGTGAAGAAGTGATGTGGTAAACTAACATGTTGATCATTCACTTAAGATGACCAACAGCGGTGACCGCGGTCACGAAACACTATGACCGCCTGGTCTGTGAAAGGAGGAGGAATGACTACGTAAGCTATGGATGTAAAGGAGTTTCATGGTCAACCAAAGCGGTGTGCACAGAAGTAAGAAAACACGGTGAACAGACTTCAGTAGAAGTGATTTTTAATAAGCACAAACTGGTGGTCATGACTGTGACCATAAACGTCATGGTCTCTCATGCTGGAGACGACCTTTCACTGCGCTACAAACTTGGTCCGGAGACGGTCGATGGACGAGCCTGGGTGGTCAGCAATGGCTGCCCGATATTGATTGCGCCAGGGGTCAGCGGAATCCGCAAGGAGTGAGACTGAGGCTAGAGTCGGGATGTTGGTCTGTCGACAGACAAATCCTGGAGCCAACAACATTTTTCAAATCGTCCTGGAAAGTGCAGGAAGAAGGGATCCAACAGGATGTCGAGGTCACACTTACCCCCGATTTACCCCTCCAACACGATCCGGAGTACAGCCTTCCACTGGGGGCTGGCCTGGAGCGCCGACAACGCCTTTCTTCACAGGAGACGCTCAATCTAGGGTCTTTCACGCGACTTGGACCAAAGATGATCGGGAGCACATGAGTGAGCTTCCATAACGCCTGGCGATGGTCGTCTTCGAACTCACGATACGCGGTCATCAAAGCTTGGAACTAGCCAGTCGGGCGGAATGACCCAGGTGCAATAGGCCGATCCTAGACGTCCCACTGTTTTTGGCTGTATAAAGCAGCAATCTGGGTGGAGGTCACTAGCCGCGGGGACCACTGAGCTTCAGTTGGCGGACGCAGGGAAACGTCCGGAGCGGGGAACAGGTAGTGCTTGGGCCGGGAGTGGTGGAACATCGTGGTTGACTGGGTTCTTCGCTATCTTGATACACGACTGATTGTCTTCATGGATCATGAGTTCCGAGAGATCCAAGTCCAGGTGACCTACAGTGACCAAGCCCAAGCAATGGGATGACCACGGCGAAAACTGGACAGGGGCATAAGTTGCACGAGTGCGATTCCAGGTATCCACTTATCGTGTGAGGACCGCACGGGGGGTATAAAGCCTTACAGGCGGTCGGGGATAAAAGCTTGTTCACTGGGGCATGACCGTAGCTTGGTACCCTCATAGACCCATCGGAATCGTCGGACGCCCTGGGTAGCTCTGCGGTCGAAGATGTCGCACCGATGGGCGGCAACCGGGAGATGGCCAATGAAGTACGAGTATCACGTCTTGACAAAGCCGGACGAGTCTCGGGTGTACGATTCGCGGGTGTATGACTGGCTGGATCGATCTCGATCGGCGTGTCAGCCAACCCATCAGCAGATCTTGTGGTCGAGGCAAAAGACCGCCGTCGAACGGAAGAACGTGGCCGTGACAGTACGATGAGCGTGGCCTCGTCAGCAGATTCTACGGAGCCGTCGCTATCCCGCGCATGAGATGCGGAGGGGAAACGCGCTTGTGATTGCGTTTGTGACCGCCGAGTCATTACAGACGGTGGCGTGGTCACGGTCTTGGAATTGGACGATTTCTGGTCATTCATGCTGGAATCTTGGGGACGTCGAGGCGAGGGCGAGACGCCTGCCGGGACTTGTGAAGATTGGATTCCGATCGTGAAAGGTTAGTTGGGCAGGCGGGCCCTGGGACCATAGAGGAAGGGTTGGCAGGTGAATTTGGTACAACCGCAACACGAGGGTGACCGGGGGAATTTGAAGCGGATCGATGTTGGATCACATGGTCTACGAGCGCGACCACGGCAGATGGGGACCCAGAAGCCGAACTCGAGGTGACCGTAACGCGCGCACGTTTTTCCGGGGGTGGCACAGGATCGGCCGCTAAATGCTCTCTCGGCCGCTTATCATAGGCGAGCCCCACCGAAGGTGGAAGCCCCATAACGAAGTTGACCAGATGGTTGAGCTGGGCCTGGCGGTCGCGAGTAAGCATATCCCGTTCTGTTCTCAACAGCGCTAGTTCCTCGATATGAGCAGCATGGGATGAGCGCAAACGGTGAAGCTCTTGGTGTCTTAAAGCGCGCTCCGTTTTTAATTGGTCAAGCTCCCGACCACGTTGTGCAAAGCTGCGAGCAAGCGCATCGAAAACGATCCGCAGTGACGCAACACGCTGCTCACTTTCCGCTACAGCTCGCCGTAAGTCTTCACACTCCTTAGCTAACTGGTCAACCTCGGTCGTGTCCACGTCATGCACTTGGTCGCTACACACGTCGGAATCGGCAGAAGAGGCATCGTCCGCCGGGGTGTCATCATATCCGACCTAAAATCCGACAGGGTCGGCAAGGTGTTCAGCCGGATCGGGGCTGGCTTGGTCAGGCTCGCCAGTGTCCAAGTTACGCACTTGGTTGCTATTCACGTCAGCATCGGCAGGATCAGCATCGGCAGAAGAAGCATCGTCCGCCGGGGCGTCATCAGATCCAACCGAAAAGTCAACAGGGTCGGCAAGGTGTTCAGCCGGAGCGGGGCTGGCTTGGTCAGGCTCGCCAGTGTCCAAGTTACGCACTTGGTTGTTATTCACGTCAGCATCGGCAGGATCAGCATCGGCAGAAGAAGCATCGTCCGCCGGGGCGTCATCAGATCCGACCGAAAAGCCAACAGGGTCGGCAAGGTGGTCAGCCGGAGCGGGGCCGGCTTGGTAAGACTCGGCAGTGTCCAAGTTACGCACTGGGTCGCTACCCACGTCAGTATCGGCAGGATCAGCATCGGCAGAAGAAGCATCGTCCGCCGGGCGTCATTAGATCCGACCGAAAAGCCAACAGGGTCGGCAAGGTGGTCAGCCGGAGCAGGGCCGGCTTGGTCAGACTCGGCAGTGTCCAAGTTACGCACTGGTTCGCTACCCACGTCAGCATCGGCAGGCTCAGCATCGGCAGAAGAAGCATCGTCCGTCGGGGCGTCGTCATATCCGACCGAAGGGCTAACAGGGTCGGCGAGGTGGTCAGCCGGAGCGGGTCCGGCTTGGTCAGGCTCGGTTGCGTCTGGTTTGAGGCCAGTGTAATCTTCGTCATCAAAAGCAGGGGTGGCCGACCGCAGCGGAGTCAGCTGAGGAGACGTCGAACCCGAAGGCAGGGGTGGTTCAACAGCCGGGTGAGATGGAGGCGACATCGCCAGCAATGATCAGGGGAAGGCAGATCAAAAAGTGCTTAGCCAGATCGGCCCCGGCAGCCGTCTAACAGAGCAGGAGACGACTGTGGTGAAGTGGTCAAAGGAAATCCTGATTAATCGCCTTGATCACCTCGTAAGTGCATGTGGGACCGGTCATGACGGTCTTGGGACTGACCCCTACAGAAATTTTCAGCGATAAGTTGGACGATTAGCAAGTCATCAGTGGCGGTCACAGATTTATGACCACCGGTTAGGGTCACGACGAATGACTGACCGGTCATGGTCACTATAGGCGACCAGTGATCATAATCATGATGAGTGGCCGGCAATCAAGGTCACGATGGGTGACCAATAGTCATGGTCACGATGGGCAACCAGTGGTCATGGTCACGATGGGTGACCAGTGGTTATTGTAACGATGGGTGACCAGTGGTCATGGTCTCTGCAAGATGACCAGCGGTCATGTTGGCAGTTAAGGTGGTTAACTTCAAGCACAGGGAATAGGTGGTGGCAGGTGAGCAACGTAGCAGAAATCTGAGATAGAGAGAAGTGTAAACGTAGTTCTAGCCCCTAATATGCTACAAACGAACAGTATTGATTTTCCTACAAGAGACACGCGTCAGCATTCCTCCGGGATGGAATACTGATGGCCACCCGACGTACAAGGTCTACTGTCGGCGTGTTTGCTCAAGGTTTGTCCCTAGATTGCTTGGCTAGGGGCAAATGTACTCATTCAAGTTAGCCCGCGATCGGACGCGGTAAGCATACAAGGCAAGGTCTTCTGACGGCTCAAGTGATCAGAAGGACAAGGTGATCAAGGGGTCAGAAGAACAAGGGGGACCAAGTATCCACTTTTGGGCAAGGTGACCTCAAGGAAGGTCAGGCAAATCTAGGAGAGTGCCACCAGTAACCGTTGGTCGTGTGAAGAATTACTGTGGTGAAGTCGATAATACAAAATTGCTTGTATGAGTGTCGATCTTCCACTTGCCCAGACTTGCCGACTCACGGATGGGGTACTCCGATCCGTGCCTTGTTGTATGACCTTGTGCTCACCCTTGTGTACCCGTCGGTTGGGCTGGCTTGAGCTCTTCGTAACGGCCTTGGGAGATGTCGATCTCGCTGAGAGGTTGGGTTGAGGGTTCGCTTCTGGTGCGGAAATCTTCACACCACGAACGGGGGTTCTGCGATCCCGATCTTGGATCGCACCGATCTTGATTTGTCTTCGAGATCGGGGTCTTTGCTGTGCGGAAATCTTCACTCAGCAAATAAAAGTCCTGCGTCGATCTTGCCTTGGGATCGGTCCGATCTGGTCTTGGGATCGGCCAATCTTGCCGGAAGTGCGCAATTTGGGTAGATCGGTGTCTTGTTTCGCCAAAATGAAACGTGCCGATCTGTCCAGGGGATCGCTTCGATCCTGCTCGGTCTTGTCTTGAACGCCTTGTCCAGATCTTTTGACCACTTGAGCCGTCTCGCGATCCTGTGTCCAAAATCCTTTTCCTGTTCCGTTGTGTGCTGCTACCCTAGCAGTTGAGTTGATTGTGAGTACTTGATCGATCCGGGCCAGATATCCCGGGATCGCTCTTCTCGATCTTGGCCAACAATCCAAGATCGGTCTTCTGTGTCCTTGTAACACGCGTGCCTTAACCCGCCGGGGAAGCCAAATCAATCTTGCCTGGAGAAGAGGGGAGGATAACGTGCGTCGTGAGCAGAAGAAGTAGAGTTCAAGTCTGTTTATTAACCAACCAAATTACTATCCAACCTACCCTTAAGCCTATTCTTAACTATAGGTCACTCTTCAAACCGATATCGCCTTGAATCTGGATCGCCCCCTTGCCACGTGTCGAAATTTCGTGCCCTGTACTCCAATGATAGCGCCAATATTCCCGATACCGTACCTGAACGCCAAAAGAGGACCAAATCCCAAATGGGGTACCAAATAGCCATTTTTGGTACCCAACAGCCCAAAATAGTGCCCAAATGCCGAAGGCGTCTAAATCCATTTTGCGACGTCAATTCGGACAGCTTCCACTGGCTCTTTCGGCATGAAACTTCTTGACATCACTTAGTGAACTCTACCAAGTATATTCCACATGATCCAGTGTCTTCATCAACCATATATTCATGATCAGTGTGGAACATGACCGATCTGTCATCCAATATCGAGATGTTGGAGGTCGATCCGGTCTAAATCGGCAATTAACACTTTTTTATCTCCTCATACGTGCTTCAATATCATCCTCCAGTGTTACCCAATCGACCACTTCATTCATACGTCTCGACATCGGTTTCCTTGACTCCCCTGAGTATGCAAAACTTCCAGATCGGCGTATAATTAACCAAAATCAGTACTACCAATTTAGGATCGGTAAAGAGTATCACCGATCCGTATGGTGTTGCACCTTCTTTGCCGATTCACCGACCTGTACCACCTGGTCCCAGATGCACTTTGGGGAGTCACCTTGTCCCAGATGTGTCAATTCTCCAACAAACCGTTGCCACAACATGCCGATCTGCGATCTGATCTTAGCCTGCTTCAATGTACGTATACTTCTTCTTGACCGGCATTCCAATGAGCTGTATGACTTCATCCCGACGTCTGGTTCCAAATCGCCCCATAACATTCTGCAAGGTGTTACACCTTCGTCGCAGAGTCATATCCCATCACCCGGTCCCAGATCCTTGTCCCAGATTGTTCCATGTAAATCGTTCCAGTTCGCGTCGTCCCAGGTCGATTCACACCCATTAGTCTAATCGACAGTTGGACCGGTTCGCCGATCCCGTTAAGATCATCTTCCACCTCCGTATTGGATCGCCGAGTCTCATGGCCTCCTTTTCCACCAGTAAGCGGCGCTTAAAAGGTGTGGCCACCGATCCTCGTACAAAATTTGAGTAGTGACTTTGCCACAACCGCCCCCTGTACTGAAGTCTTTTGTACAGCAATTGACCTCAGTACAGTCACTCATCAACTTCGTTTCAAGCACTCAAGTCCGTCTCATGGCCTCTCCGACGCATCCACCCACCTCGCTGATCTCATCAGAAGGACCCATTATGTTTCTGTCTCCGGATCGCGACCTGTCGCCCGGATCGCCCGATCTCGGAGGACACACCCCAGCGGTCCCCGATCGGCCTGGGTCTCCGCGCCATCTAGGCCCAACCGGCTCGCCCACAATCCCCACAGGATCGCCAGATCGACAGCCGACCATACCCTCGTCTCCATCCCGAGACTCGCCATCTAGATCGCCAGATCGCGGGTGGTATGCTCCTATCGTCCCAGATCAACATTAGTCTCTCAGTAATCCCAGATCGGTCGGATCACTCTCGACCGCCGCGGAATTATCAGATCGTTCCTCCGAGCCATTCCCGCTTCCCACTCCTCCGGCGGCCCCAGATGCGTCCAGATCCGACATCCCGGCCGCTAATGAATCTCGTGAAAGGTCTGCTCCAGCTGTGGGCGTCACCGACTTCGTTCCCAGAGTCTCTGCCGACGACGTTCGTCTCACGATGGCCACGATCTCGTATTTGTGGGATCGAGAGGCTACCTTCTGCAGCCAAGCCGACACCATTCATGCGCTCCAGCAATCCTACCGAGATGCCGTCGTCCGGGGGGATCGCTTACAAGACGAGCTTGATTCGCTATACAGATCAGCCGCTCCTTTTGTCTACTTCGTCCAGCTTCGATATGACTGGATGCAGGGCCGCTACGTCGACGCAGTGCATTCTTTGAGTGATTGCCATCGAGCTCTGCGGACATATCGAGATCAATCGGAGGAGATTCGTCGGCTACGCACTTTGATATGTGCCAACGACGAGGCTCAGGGGAACTTGGAACGACAGGTGGATGCTTTGAGGGCTCAGCTTCATTCGCTCCAAGCCGAACTCAACTTTCTCCGACAGCAGCGTGATCAGCTGACCATGGACCAATCCTTCCTTCACATAGATTTTTTGCACTTGAAGGAGCAATTGGATCAGTCTCAGGAGGAGATCGCAGATGGACTGTCTTCGATCAGCGATCTCATGCAACAAGTGGATGGTTTGACTCCCCTAGAGGGTCAGTTGGCACTTTCGCAGGCGGAGAACGCCAACCTACGTCGTCAGCTTGCGGAACACATCGAGATATACGACCAGTTGCAGGTGGTGGAGCATGATCGGGATCAGGCTATAGCTGAACACCGAGCTCTCCTCGACACACTGAACAGTGCTATACTCGGATCCCGGTCGTCTGCGTTGATCGCTCGATCGACGCCTAAGAGTGCTACTCCGGTCGGATCGGCCCCTGCTCCCACTACCCCGGGATCGAGATCGCTTGCCCGTAGGTCCAGATCGAGATCGTCCGGCCCGCCTGCCAAGCGTCGGCGTATTTAACCAAGGTCACAATCCAGTGATTCTTCCACCGCCAGTGTGGCTTCCCGGCTATTGTCGTTGAACCCTTCAACACCTTTAAACAAACTTCCCGGATTGGCCCCACCCGAGCCTCCGCCCAATTCTCCTTGTTCTCCGCTTTCGTCCGCGGCTTCTGGGACTGGATCGGGAAGTGAGGAGCTGACCGAGTCGGATTCTAGCTCGGATGATTTGACTCGTGCTGCATTATCCCAATCGAGATCGGCCTCTCGTCGTCAACCTAGATCGGATGCCCGATCTTCGACCCCGAACCCCTCTCCGGCCGCTCGGGTTGTTCCCGCTTCTCCCGCAGCTACTGCGTTGGCTCAAGCACTGTTGCGTTCGCCTTCTCCAGACGTTCCGGAGCCTCGTTATCTTTCGTACCCATCCACTCCGGTCGCGGATGTCCCCGTAGTCGAAATTCAAGATGATGGCGGCGTAGAAGACGTGGAGGTATCGCCAACAGGGGAGACACACAGCGAGACTGGCTCTGTTATTCCGCCTCCGGAGTCTACTGCGCTTTCGGATCGCCATTCGTCCGATAGCGAAAACAGCATCACCCTTCCGGCACGCCAAGTGGCTAACAGAGTTTTCTCTTCCGTGGACTTCGACAATCTTCCGCCACTCCAGCAACCACGGGATCGGTGGATTCCCAACTATCTGGCGCCCTCCCGACGGGTAGCTTCCGAGATCGCTCCATGGTCCGTTTCGCGGATCGCGATGGTTTGCGTGAGGACCATGACCATTGAGCTGTTGTTTCACCACTACTCCAAACCCAGGAATTTTCTGTTTCCCTTCTACAATCATGGACGAGCTCCGCCTACGGGGACTTGGGCTTCTGGGCTGATCTCGCGGCAACACATCGAGGCTCTTTATGCTTTAGCCCCTTGGGATAATATCATAGTCCCAGTGAACCCGATATCATTCACCATGACTGGATGGTATCGTGATATGGGTCATCGGTACCTGGAGCTTGAGTCTACTCATCGACAAGCTCTGTGGGAATCTACTCATGCTTTCCCGATTCCTCCGGCTCAAAGGCGATCTGAACGGTTCATGCAGACATTCTGGCGCCAACGAAAACAACGCCGTTCTCGCTTTGGAGCGCGTTGGAAGAACTTCTTGAAGATGATACTCAGCGGCATGATCGCTGGCCACTGCAATCTCGACATCTTGCTAGATCCCTTCTTCCTCCACTATCCGCGCCCACATGAAGACCGAGTTTGGTATCCAGGGTTAGGACACTCTAACGACCCAGCTGACTTGCTAGAGGCGTTGGACATGGCAGACCAAGAGGATCCTTGGCGCAACCAATTCCGTAACGCCTATTGGGATCATCCCGGATCGCAGATCCCTCGTCTGCAGGACAAGTTCAAACCTGCTCCATCGTCTTAGTCCAAGATCGATATCCAAGCCCGATCGTCTTTCATAATCGTGTAAGTCATTCAATCATCTTCTTCTTTGGTACTTCCATTCTTTGCAACTTCCACGATCTCGATCCTCCTCGCTCCACATCATTCAGGAAGGTAATTCACTTGACTATCTCCATACTCACATACAAAAACCTCATCCACCAGCTTGTGCTACCGTCTAGCACATCTTTCAACCCCTACATCCGCATATGCTACCTCCCGCATACTTGTTCGAACTGTTAAGGTTCGTCCGACTTGCCTTCATGAGACTGCATTACGTCGAAACGGTTTCGACTCACTCGGTTCCGCTCAAACTCTTGCAAGATCGCCCCACAACTTAGATCGGCCTCGTCCACCCAACTTAGATCGGGATATCCCTTCCACTTCACCAGAAACTGCCGGTGTACTCGCCCATAACGGGTTTTTCTACCAGATCGCACGTCCAATATTGCCTCTACTTCGTATTCCCCTTCTTCAAGATCGCCATCCCAACTGTCTTCTGGCAGCAGAGCTTCATCGAAATCCAAGCGATCTGATTCCTCTATCGTAAGCTGATCCTTCGGGCGTTCAGGGAACGTCTTTACCTTTTTTAGCTTCGATATGTGTACAATCGGAAATAACCGATATGGGGTTCCAGCGATCTCCAATTTTACAGCATGATCTCCACATACGTCCGCAACTCGGAATGGCCCATGCCACATGTGCGCTAGCTTCTTCGCATATCCCTCTTTAAATCGGTCCAGGTATAGCCAAACTTGCGCTCCTACTTCGATCTCGTGTGGTTCCAGATCTTCGTTGTGTCGATCTGCTCGCTCCTGGATCGCGGCTTGTAAACGATCGTTCACTGCAGATCGGGCTCGCTGGTATTGTCTTTGGATTTTGTATCTCCACCTCTTTGGATCGCGATCTCGTGTCCCCGTATTCCCCACTGGTAGCGTAGCCTCCAAAGTCGATCGCGGGTCCCACCCATGAATCAGATAAAATGGGGTATCCCCCCGGATCCGATCTTGTGCAGTGTTAATGGCAAAGGTGAGCCGCTCAGCATACTCATCCCAGTCTCGCTGGTCAACTTCAGCCACGTACATCTTGAGCGAATGTGTCAGGGTTTGCACCATTCGTTCGGCTGTTCCATTTGCTTGTGGCCTGTAAGCCATAGTAGCACGCTGTTTTTGTCCTACGATCCGACTGAAGGCTCGAAAGAAGTCGGACATAAATCCCGGTTCTCGATCGTGCCTGATAGCCTCGCTAGCTCCGAAGCGTCGAAACACACATTCTTCGTAATTCTCCGCTATTGTTTGTGCCGTCCGAGAGGAGCTAGCCTTTGCAATCACATATCCCGAGAAAAGGTCGACCCAAATGAGCAGTTCGGTGTTCCCCTTGATGGACTTGGGCAACGACGGTATATGATCCATGGCGATGATCTGGAATGGATAGGTTGCGTGTAGATTGCCCGGGGATTTCCCATTAATCATCGGGTTTCCTTTCCCGGTCTCACAGTCGGTACATTCGCCCACATATCGTTGAACGCTCCGATACAGTCCTCTCCAATGAAATCGCGATCTGATCCTCTGATAGGTTCGGCCAATACCCTGATGGCCTCCTTCCAGACTCGTGTGATAGTGATGCAAAAAATCCTGCTGCAACGTCTCAGGGATCACCAACCGCATCAAACCATCGCGATCTTCCGACTCTCTTTTCGCCATGGGGCAGAAAAATAGCAGATCGTTCTCATCGATCTCGTATTCCGGCACCAGTTTGGCGCACATCTTCACTTCTACCGCATCCAAGTTTGATACATCGCCACTTAGATATGTCTTGAGATTGACAATCCAACGCTCTTCATCTTGAGCTTGGACAATTCGTTGAATCCTGATCCTCTGTACTATCTCCTCCTGTATCACTTCAGGTTCATGACGTATCCTCCTGGCTGATCTCGCGATCGCAGTTACCCGAGCTAGCTGACCATCTTGCTTGGGCTTCAACAATTCATCGAGACGGTTCAGAGTCATCAGATCTTGCCGATCCTCTTCAGCTACAACCGTTCTTCCCTTTTCGCTCTGCAATGATGTGCTGGCTAGTCGATCTGCGCTCTGATTCCACTCTCGCTTCATATGCAGAAACTCTTGACTAGGCCATGACTGCAGCTTCTCCGACGCTTTGTGTCTCAGAAGCTGAAGGCCCGGTGCCTTGCAGTCGATCTCACCGCGCATCTGTCGAATCACCAGACTGGAATCTCCACACAGTATTACTCGCCCCCTATCCAGACCGGCGAGTAACTCAAAGCACAGTAGCAAGCCATTATACTCAGCTTCGTTCACAGTCAGATCGTGAACATATCTCGATTCGGCCGCCACGATCGTCCATTCGGGTAACTTCCATATCACGGCACTGAACGACCCTCCTTTCTTTTTTATCCTAGCCGATCCATCGAAACTGGCTACCAGCAACTCCTCATCTGTTTTCACCGTTGGAGGAGGCATCGATATTTTGAGTCGACAGTCTTTTCGTGGGGAGATCGCAATCAGCATCTCTTCCACCTCTCCTCTCGGAGTGATACTCGCTGCTAACATGCCCAGGATTTCTTCCTCTCCTCTTTCACATTTCTTCACCTCCATAGTCCAATTTGACAACAAAGCAGCCCACCGTCCTAATCTCCCGTTGAGCCCTCGAGACTGCATCAACCAGGCTAACGTAGAATGTCGGGTCAGTACAGTGATCTCCCGCGAGGCAAGCGTAGTATAGCATACATCCAACACACGAAGTAGCGCCAGCACTTCTTTTTTGTACCATTCCGTAGTTAAGCTCATTAGGCTTTAAAGTGCGGCTAGTAAACGTCACCGGATGGTACACGCCATCGCACTCCTGTATCAGGGCCGCTGAGACAGCCCACTTGCTAGCGTAGACCACGATTACGGGGGACCGATCTGGGTCGAAATGCTTGAGCATGGGAGCTGTAGCTATCTTAGCTTTTAGCATAGTGAAAGCAACCTTGGCTTCCGTCCATCGACCCTCGTTGGAGCATTCGTCTCCTGCTGCAAGCTGAGATCGGCCGATCTCGAAGAAATCCGATTCTCTTAACTCATACAACACCGCGGCATACACCGCGAAATCCTCAATGAAGCGACGGTAGTAGTTCAAGCTCCCGAGAAAGGATTGCATAGCTCGTAGCGTGCTAGGAAACGGGATGTTAACCAACGACTCTAGGTTCTTGGGCTGAGCCTCCAGACCATCCATCGACACTCGATGTCCCAAATAATCGACCTTACGGCACCCCCAAAAACTCTTCGTGAGGCTGATAGACAGATTCCACTTATCACATGCCTCCAGCAACCGTTCTACTTTTTGTGTACAAAGATCCCCATGACGCGGCTGGTATGAGAATATCGTCAATGTAAGATCGGCGTCCCAGTATAGACGGTCGTCGATCTGTCTCAGGTTCTCCATCTTTGAACACGTCGATCGGGCCATCAGAAGCTGATCTCTGGCCGATCTTGAGATATCCATACAACGCATTGTCCACCAGACGTTGGTAGATCTGGGGCGCGTTCTTAAGCCCAAAAGGCATTCGCAGCCACTCGAACAAGCCAAACGGTGTAACAAACGCTGAGATCAGTTTTGCTCGTTCGGTCATTTCGACGACCCAAAATCCACTAGCCATGTCTAGCAAACAGTACCATAGAGCTTTATCCAGATCTTCCAACAGATCGCTGATCAACGGCATGGGATAAACCATCAGACGCGTCAGCTGGTTAACTCTTCGATAATCAATGCAAAGGCGAATATCCACTCCGTTCTTCTTGATGATCACCACTATCGGAGACGCCCAAGGTGACGTGGATGGCTGAACGATTTTGGCTGCTAATAGTCCTTTGATGAGATCTGACAGCTTCTCCCGATATTTGGGTGCGACCGGACGCACTCTTTGCGCTATCGGTGCTGCCCCACCGACATCAATATCACAGATCGCGCCTCGTGCTGCTGGTGGTAGAGCATTACCTTTACCCATGAGGAGGTGACGGCTCTTCCAGATCAGTGATCTGAGCCGTTGTTGATCTGTGGTGAGAGGCACATCGGGATCACCGATCTGAATGTCCTCAATCGTAACTTCTTCCGTAGTCGCCGACATCTCTGGTAGCACGGCCATATGCTGCTCGATATCTTCCGCAAACAAATCTCCGCTCTCGTGGTGATAAACTGGTATTTCTGCAATCTCGACGTCTTCAGTATTTAGCATTATTTCTCCTTTAGGCTCCTTCGTCTCTTCCGGCTGGCCCAATTTCAACAGTCGGTCAGTCGGCTCAGCCTTCGGTAGAGACGATCTGTCACGTAGCCCTTCTTGACCGGTGTCGCGGTCTCCCTTCGTTGCATGTTGGGTGCCGATCTCATGACCGTTCTCCATCCGCGATAGTTCGGCTCCCCTGACCGTTACTTCCCTCGCAACTACAGCATCTGCCTTTTGCGAATCGTCATCGTTAGCTTGCGACGTTACCGTGGAGATCGCCGGAGACAGGTTCTGTAACGCATCAGACGGACGTTTCAAGATGCGTTTGGGAGCGGCATACGTAGGACGATCTACCAATGGTCCGATCGGTTCTTTCGAGAGTTCGTTCACTCGATCCGTTGTAGCTTTATATGCCAGAGTTTGCCATTCCTTGTACTTCCCCGACCCGACTGTCACCAAACCTTGGGTCCGCGGTACCATATCGCCTTCGACCCACATGCCTAATCTTGTGTGGGTGGGCAGTATGATCTCCCGGTCGCCAATGTTGGTCATCTGCAGGTATTTCGTCTTACCCCACCCCGAGATCACAGTGGGGACCCAATCTAGTCCTCTAGCGACCCACAACTTCATCTTAGCCCCTCCGATCCCGATCTTCACTTCCCTTGACTCTCCGACCGGGATCACCACGTGTTGGTCCTTCGCCGTTATATGTTGTATCTTCGATCCGTATGCGGGGCGACGTCCTGCGAGATGAATGCGGATTTCTTCTGGTAGACATAGCGCGCCATCCGCTAGATCGAGCCGCACTCCAGCATGCACCATAAAATCCATACCCAGAATCGCTTCTTGCCCTGCCAGATCGCCTACCCATACATTGAAATAGTATACCAGCGATCCCGCGAGGGTCACCTTGATCTTGGTACGTCCTACCGTCATGTACGGAGTTTCTCCAATCCCGATACATTCTTGTCGTTGACTTTCGTCAATATTGCAACCGACCTCACGAGCAAAGGTGGTGTCAATGATCGACACTTCAGCACCAGAATCAAATAACAGAGTAGCTTTTACGTTGTTGATCTTGCCAACGGCTTTCGCTTGTTTGAACCACTTCCCGGGTGAATAATGTTTCCAATATCCGCGAGATTCACCATAAGCGAGCTTGATCTCCATAGCTGGTTCGGATCGTGAGTACTCATCGATCCGCTTCAGATGGGACACGGAAGCGACACGTTTTAACTTCGAACGAGATATATTTGTTTCCACGTCAATATCCTGCTTACTCTCGCGATCTGTCTTCTTTTTTTCCACGTATGCAATAATGCAGAGCCCAGAACGCTCGGCTCGTACCAGATTCAAACCTGGCGAGCGTCCTAGTTTAACATCTTCTAGGCCTTCTCTGGTAGCATCCCCGCATGCTTATTCGGGACGTACCACTGACGGATCATGTTGTAGAACTCCTCCATGGGACACTTCCCCGGGTCGTGCATCTCACCGCAAGCACGACACACGAAAAAACAATTGTCAGAGGGGTGTCCTTTACGCCCACACTTCTGGCAAGTGAGCCGCTTCCAACAACCGAGATCTCCATGCTTGGTCGATCCGCAATGAGTACACGGCTTCACTGGCACATTGCGGTCTTGATAGTCTTGACGAGTGTTCGGGTCGACCGATCTCGCGTTTGCTGCAACGTCATTGGGGAATGAACGGCGATCCGCAGTAGCAGCCACATGGATCGATCTCAATCGACCTTCCAAATCCTATCCGCAGGTGTCTGATCCTGACTCGCTGCAGACGTCCTCGGTACGGACCATCCTTACCGCTCGTGCAGGCTTAGACAGCGCTGGACCCTGAGTTCCCTTCTGTCTGAATTTGGACGATCCCATCATCACTTTCCCTTGACGCGATCTCCCTTGTTGATATCCGTGCAGTGTCTTTTGCATGGCCTCCGCGTCTTCTACATTCAGCAGTAGCAATTGATTGGACAGATCGGGGTCGTCCAAGGTGTCAATGAAATGATTGACATGTTCCTTGCGCGCAGCTGGCAATCCAGTCATCACCGGTATCTTCGCCTGCATTCCCATCACATTAAGCCGATACAGGTACTGCAAAGGATCTTCCTCCGATCGTTTCTTTGCATGGTAGTATTGCCTGCTCGCGGACATCCCGTGCCCCGCATACTCCACAAGAAAACTGTTCATCAATTCTTTCCAATTGAATCTCGTCGATCTACTCAGCTGTCGGTACCAGTAGCGGGCTGGGCCCACCATGAGATCACTGAAGACCAGACATCTCTCCTCGTCCGGTGCTTGGTCCCGGATAAACGCTGATTTCACTTTGCCGATCCAGGTCCATGCTTTGTCTTCTTCCCGATCCTTCCCTGAGAATTCCTTCAGCTCAGAAATCGCTGAGATTCTGATCCTCTGCGTGATGTTTCCCCCTCCGGTAGTCGCACCGGTCGCGGCTACTTGAGGGCGCCGTGGTTCGGGCATCCATAGATCATCCGGGTCGCATTCCGCCGCCTCATGGATATGTTGGTAAATGTCCGACCCCACCGACTCCATCTCCACATCCGGCATGTCAAGGCTTTCGTGTGAAGGTTGGAGCAAAGTACGTCGATCTGGGTAGCGGTTTGGCTGTCGATTCATTCGCTGAGCTGTACGTTGCTCCGCCTCGTACTTCTTCATGGCTGAATTGAAGTACCGACTTAGATCGCCCTCTTCTTAATCCTCCAGCCCAGTGCGGGTACTGGCCGATCTCTGCGGCATGTTGCTCTTGGCTTGTCCCTTATAGGCGTCGATCTTGGCTTGTCCGATCTTGTCCTTTAAGAACCTTCCACCCGATGGTCCTAGAGACATCTGACGAATGCTGATGGATCCATCTGACTCGCTCTCGGAGTCATCCGAGGCGTAGCGGGCGATCCCGCGGGGTGTTTACAGAGCGAGCCCGAGGGCGTCCCGATCTTGTCTTCAGGAGTATTCGCTTTGCCCACCAGCATTATCATGATCTCTACAAACTCGTTCGCCGCGTCCTTCAACTGTTCCAAGCTGCAACTCAGCAGTTCATCTCCATCAAAAGCGTCAGGGCAGATACCCATGTCGTCCAACATCTGCAAAATCACATTGATATCGTCGACTTTGTTGGTCCCGTGAAGTGGGACCGAGATCGGCTTATCCAGAGGACCAATCACCTTGGGCCTTAACATCTTGAACACTGGGTCCGTCTTGAGCAGCGTCTTCAACTGGCCATAATAGTACTGCCATTTTGCACGCTCCCGCGCTTCACCCGTCGTCTCCTTCTCCATGGACGCGATCTTTATTGGGTTATATTCCGTCTTTGGCATCGCGATCTTATCTGGTGTTTCATCGTATTCCTCTTTGGCTCCGATCTTCGATTGCACGGTTCGGCCGATCTGGCGATCTTTGACATCTGACCCCATCGATCTCGTCGCGGATCGTTCTGATGTGGTCGATCTCGCGATTGTGCTCTTCGGCTTGAGGTCGGGCGATCTATCGACTAAGATATACGGTTTGGCTTTCGCCGATTTGGTTTTCACCGTTGGATTTTCATCCAGCAGATCGCTCTTTGCAGAGCGATCTGCGGTGGCCCCCGAAGGGACCCTAGCAGGGAATTGAGGTTTATCTTCCAGATCGATCTCTCGATCTTCCTCTTTCATTTTCATTTCATCAGAGCCCCTCCCAAAACTCTGATGATCTGAGGATCTTGTGCTTCTGCGTGTCTGCGTCGATCCCTTTGTCGCTGACACCTCAATCCCAGGTTCTTGCTTAATCTTGACATCTTCGCCAGTGGACTCACGGTGACATCCAGAGGCCTCAGAAGATCCGGGCACGCACACCATTGTGGTGAAGTCGATCTCACAAAATTGCTTGTATGAGTGTCGATCTTCCACTTGCCCAGACTTGCCGACTCACGGAGGGGGTACTCCGATCCGTGCCTTGTTGTATGACCTTGTGCTCACCTTGTGTACCCGTCGGTTGGGCTGGCTTGAGCTCTTCGTAACGGCCTTGGGAGATGTCGATCTCGCTGAGAGGTTGGGTTGAGGGTTCGCTTCTGGTGCGGAAACCTTCACACCACGAACGGGGGTTCTGCGATCTCGATCTTGGATCGCACCGATCTTGATTTGTCTTCGAGATCGGGGTCTTTGCTGTGCGGAAATCTCCACTCAGCAAATAAAAGTCCTGCGTCGATCTTGCCTTGGGATCGGTCCGATCTGGTCTTGGGATCGGCCGATCTTGCCGGAAGTGCGCAATTTGGGTAGATCGGTGTCTTGTTTCGCCAAAATGAAACGTGCCGATCTGTCCAGGGGATCGCTTCGATCCTGCTCGGTCTTGTCTTGAACGCCTTGTCCAGATCTTCTGACCACTTGAGCCGTCTCGCGATCCTGTGTCCAAAATCCTTTTCCTTTTCCGTTGTGTGCTGCTACCCTAGCAGTTGAGTTGAGTGTGAGTACTTGATCGATCCGGGCCAGATATCCCGGGATCGCTCTTCTCGATCTTGGCCAACAATCCAAGATCGGTCTTCCGTGTCCCTGTAACACGCGTGCCTTAACCCGCCGGGGAAGCCAAATCAATCTTGCCTGGAGAAGAGGGGAGGATAACGTGCGTCGTGAGCAGAAGAAGTAGAGTTCAAGTCTGTTTATTAACCAACCAAATTACTATCCAACCTACCCTTAAGCCTATTCTTAACTATAGGTCACTCTTCAAACCGATATCGCCTTGAATCTGGATCACCCCCTTGCCACGTGTCGAAATTTCGTGCCCTGTACTCCAATGATAGCGCCAATATTCCCGATACCGTACCTGAACGCCAAAAGAGGACCAAATCCCAAATGGGGTACCAAATAGCCATTTTTGGTACCCAACAGCCCAAAATAGTGCCCAAATGCCGAAGGCGTCTAAATCCATTTTGCGACGTCAATTCGGACAGCTTCCACTGGCTCTTTCGGCATGAAACTTCTTGACATCACTTAGTGAACTCTACCAAGTATATTCCACATGATCCAGTGTCTTCATCAACCATATATTCATGATCAGTGTGGAACATGACCGATCTGTCATCCAATATCGAGATGTTGGAGGTCGATCCGGTCTAAATCGGCAATTAACACTTTTTTATCTCCTCATACGTGCTTCAATATCATCCTCCAGTGTTACCCAATCGACCACTTCATTCATACGTCTCGACATCGGTTTCCTTGACTCCCCTGAGTATGCAAAACTTCCAGATCGGCGTATAATTAACCAAAATCAGTACTACCAATTTAGGATCGGTAAAGAGTATCACCGATCCGTATGGTGTTGCACCTTCTTTGCCGATTCACCGACCTGTACCACCTGGTCCCAGATGCACTTTGGGGGAGTCACCTTGTCCCAGATGTGTCAATTCTCCAACAAACCGTTGCCACAACATGCCGATCTGCGATCTGATCTTAGCCTGCTTCAATGTACGTATACTTCTTCTTGACCGGCATTCCAATGAGCTGTATGACTTCATCCCGACGTCTGGTTCCAAATCGCCCCATAACATTCTGCAAGGTGTTACACCTTCGTCGCAGAGTCATATCCCATCACCCGGTCCCAGATCCTTGTCCCAGATTGTTCCATGTAAATCGTTCCAGTTCGCGTCGTCCCAGGTCGATTCACACCCATTAGTCTAATCGACAGTTGGACCGGTTCGCCGATCCCGTTAAGATCATCTTCCACCTCCGTATTGGATCGCCGAGTCTCATGGCCTCCTTTTCCACCAGTAAGCGGCGCTTAAAAGGTGTGGCCACCGATCCTCGTACAAAATTTGAGTAGTGACTTTGCCACATTACCACGTGACCACACCCCACCTATCCTCAACTCGTTCAAGACTAGAAATCGACCTCAAGACACCTGGAAGAGTGCAACCGCCCGCCGACGGGTACACAAGGTGATAAGGAAAAAGACAAGACACACGGTCCGGAGTACCCCCTCCGTTAGTCGGTCGTCCGGGCGCAAGTGGGAAGTCAGGATCGCTACGTAAATGAGCGAATCTCACTTCGCCACACTTACGTGAAGTATCTTACACATATATCCTTGGTCGTGTGAATGATTCCGCACGATCACAGAACCATGCTTAACACGGTCAAGATTTATCTCGACACAAGTCCACCGAGAAGAGTGCGGCCCCCCATACCGACTGGTAGACAATATAGGGAGGGAAATAGAAGTCACGGAAACGGATTACTCTCCGATAGTAGGTCAACACGGCACCAGATAGGGGTCATGTTATCCTCATCAAATGAGCGATCGCCATTCCACCACGCAGATGTGGTGCATTGCACCGCTATCGACTTCCCGCATCCCCGGCATGCTCCTTCCTGTTGAAAGTTCACATTTGAGCGAGAATGCGTAGGCGATTCGTCCAATGTACTCGTAGTTACCCCCTTCGTTGCGCCAGTGGACGATTTGGGCTCCGAGTTCTCAGCCATTTATACCGCGTCTCTGGCTCTTTTATTGCTGTTTGTTTGGTCCAGAACCTTTTCACTTTGTACCCAAGTTTGCCACAATTTGATCAGTAGTGTGCTTACTCTTAGCACTGAACGCCTTGGCTGCGTCGTCACTCTTCACTATCGCAGTTTAAATACCTTAACAACTTCATGTGCTCGTTCTCCATCACCATGACAACTTCTTGCGATCGAACATTAGCACTGAACATCTCCAAATTGAATCGACGCTTTCGAAACTCTTGGGAATGCTGCACATTAGATAAATCGAAACGTCCTCGTCTTCCATCTTGGCTCCGATGCAGCTTAACCTCGCGCTGATGTTCAGCACCTTATTGCAACGGTGCAACAAATTGCCGCCTTCTTCATGTTGGAAATTGCATCATTTCTGAGTTGGTTAGTCGTTTCATGCTAGGTACGTATGTGCATGAAGAGGAGTGCTGCGGTGGTTGAAGTGGCGGCTAACTACTTAGGGCCTGTCGTGTTATTACCTTCGGTCAGCTTCGGCTGCAAGAAACTGCTTAGATGAACATGAGCTGTAGAGAGGTATGACAGATACACAAGGGCACCAGATATGGCAGACCATTTATTACAGTGCTAAAGCCTTCTTCTCTATGTCAAGCGAACAGGTTATGAGCCCAAGCTTACAGATGAAAGACGACGCCAACACGGCACAGGCACCGCCAACAACCAGTCACCAAAGGGCTGCGACGGAGCCTGCTGTTGTCGTCCCTCCTCACGCTCACGAAAGGAGCGCGGACACCAATGCTCTAGAGAGGGTTCTCACGATGCTGGGGGGCGTGGAAGAGCGCATGAAGAAGATGGAGCTGTCGCAGGCGAGAATTTCCGAAGACGAGCGCATGCGAGGCGCTGTCGACAGCGGTATGTTTGGCTCTATGCTCGGCGCCGACTTCGCAGGCAAGCTAAATCGAGACGCTCTCGACTGGTCGGACTTGCGAAGTCACCAAGCGCCGCGTCCTACTATGGATAGGCTTGACGGGTTTGGGTTAAGTGCTCATCAAGATGTGCCGCAACGCGCACTGCCACCGCCTCGCCCACCTGTTCCATCCCCGTAACAACCGCAGCCTTAAGCTCCGGCTCAAGCTCCTACCACGTCTCAGTATTGAACTGCTGACGCGAGGCAGCGTAAGCTTGCTATACGCAAGTTTGATGGGACTGAGGTGTATGTTGGTCTTGGATCTGTTTTTTTATTGGGGCAAGAATTTCTGGCGACAGGTGGACATGGCCCAAGATTCGTGCGGTATTTTTGGACAGAGAACGTCAAGACTGACGTTCTGGGGCAGTAATTGACGGGTACTGCGGAGCGGTACTTCAACAAGCAAGTCGACACTTGGTGGGCTGTGCTACCGGCTCTATAATATGCCATGCAGCGTCTGCTTGACACCTTCAAGACTAACATCACTGCGGCTCAAGCGATGAATTTATTCACGGCAAGGAAGGACAATAAGCTCTCATGGCCAGAACATTACCTCGACCTCGTCACAGTCAGTGATGCAGCTGGGGGGGGCTGAGCAACAAGTTCTCGACAACATTGTGCGGTACGCATCACCCGAGCTATCGACGATATTGATGGCTAAGTATAAAACGCATCGCGTCGATTACCTTGTCCAGGCAGAAGAACTTGCGCATTTTGCGCAGACGATCGAAATAAAATTAGGGTCAGGGCTTGCCTTTAATAGAGGGCCGTCGCGCATGTAGAGATTCTGCGTTGTGCAAGGAGACACGTACCTGCTTTGGGTGTGGTAAAGCAGGGCATGTCAAGGCTGATTGTCGAAGCAAAATGACTAGTTACACAAACGCAGGCCATCGAGCCAAGGGCGTTGGAAATATTGTGCTCGCAATTGGCGAAGGTGCCAGTATTTAGAGCTCACGTCATGACAAGCTGAACCAGACGCTGGTGATTGGAGAAAACACTGATCGTGATGGATGAATTCTAGACAGTGGGTCCAGTATCCACCTGGTTAATGACCAATCTTTGTTGCAAGAAGCAAAAATGTGCGAACATGAGTGCCATCTATAAAATGGCGAATCACTCAAGCTGTTACGTGTTGGCAACGTGGTACTCACTGTGGTAGAAGGAAGGCAAGTGCGGGACGTCACGTTGACTGAAGTTTACCTCGCACCAGAGCTCTCGCGAAATATAATTTTGTACGGCAAGCTCGAGCGCAAGGGGTTCGGAATCGTGTATGATGGCATGAAGCGCGAACAAGCCAGGTGCAGCACTGGTGAAGTCGTATTCGACATTTCAATGGATATTAATGTCCTTTACGTAAAGCCGGAGGCCCCAAATGCAGTACAAGAACACCAAGTGAAGTATTGATGGCATTAATTACGCACGAGACATCAAACGAGTCGGTCAAGGACATGCAGAGTGGTTCACTATACCACTTCCACCAGAGACTGGGTATTTTGGGCTAGGACGCGGTTGAGCTGATGGCAAAGGACCCGGCTCTAGGCATTAAGATAACGGATCGTGTAAGACCTACGTGTGTGTCGTGCGCAGAGAAGAAACAGACCAAGAATGTGCAGTCAAACGAGGACACGGGGACTTACTCGCCAATCGACTGTACTGGCGGTGTCATATGTTCGGACCTTGAAGGTCCGATGACACCAAGGGACCGACTTGGAAAACGGTACTTGATAAATTTTGTGGATCACAAGTCTAATTACTTATGTGCATTTCTCGCTAAGATTAAGGACCAGGCGGCGAAGAAGTTCGAGCATTTTTTGGCCTTTTTCGAGCGCCAGTTTAATTGTCGTGTACATGTCCTAAGGACGGAAGGTGGAGGTGAGTATGAGAACGTCGACCTGTTTTGCAAGTCAACAGGTGTTTCAAGACAAGTCAGTGAGCCAGAAATCAAACATCAAAAGGAAAAGCTAAGAGAATGCACCGGACGGTCCTTATTATGGCTCGCTCGATGACAATTGCAAGTCGACTCCCTTTGTCGTTCTGGGGTGATGCGGTTGAGTATGCCTCATATATCCGTAATCGTAGCCCGACAAGCGCAAATGAGAAAAGAGAATCGCCTATGGAGATACTTACGAAGCGTGCTCCTGATTTGCGTGACATTGTGGTTTTTGGATCTGTTTGTTCTATTTACCGCGACCCGCGCAAGAACTCGCTGGCAAAAAGGTCTCAAGTCGGCGTAATCATCGGGCGCAGCGACGAAACCAAGGGCTACAAGGCATTTCTGCAAAAGGAAAATAAAGTCGTGGTTTGCGCAACACGTAAGGGAAATCTAATCTCTGAGTGATGAGCAGAACAGTCATTTGCGTAGAGCACTTGACTTCGAGGATCAGGACGATGGTGTGGTGTCGACATGCCCAAGTGAAAAAGTCATGGTTCTGGCTTCGAAAAGTCAAAAAGGAAAAAAGGTCGAAGTCATGGACGCGTGATGCCCACATGAATCGGGGTGCATCGAAACGTGCGCAGTATACTGGTGCTTAGGAGGAGCAAGAACGTGAAGAGAGTGTCGTGGCTCACATTTACGAGCGCGATCCCATGAATTATGGGGAAGCGATGCGCAGCAGCAAGCGCGAAGGGTGGGAGATAGCCAAGCGCGAAGAGATACAAGCTTTCGAAGAAAACAAGGTTTGGCGATTGGTCAAGCGAAGTCCCAGTAGTAATGCACTGCACACTAAATGGGTTTTAAAACGAAGACTGATGCGCACGGTGATCTCGAGCGGCCCAAGTCTCGACTTGTTGCGCGCGGGAATGATGAAGTTTTTAGTGTTGATTACCAGCTTACCTTTGCCGCAGTTATGGCCATATCAACGGTCAGGTAATCACTTGCTCTGGCAGCAAGGTGGGGAGTGCCCACCAAGCACGGGGATATACTTAACGCTTGTGTGAAAGCGGATGAGGAATCTCACCGTGATATATTCTTGCAGGTACCGCAAGGCATGGACATTGGTGAAGAGGCTATGAAAAATTTTGGCGACTCAAGCAAGAGCGAGCTTTCGCTAGAACTATGCAAGAGCTTGTACGGCCTCAAGCAGGCTGGACGATTATGGAGTCATCTTCTTCATGCAAAGCTGTGCGATGCGGGCTTCACACAGTGCGTGTCTGACATATGTCTCTACTAGAAGCGCGATGAAAAGGACATAGTTGTGGTGGGTGTTTACATGGATGACCTTCTGGTCACCGGCACTGATGCGGCCGCAGTTGACCGTTTCTTCGAAGGTCTATCAAGTTTGTCGAGTAAAAATTTCGGACAAGTGAGCAAGTTTCTTTGGATGCGAGTGGTGCTTAACGATGGTGGTGAATATCAGCTGGACCAGGAGGAGGCCATTAATGACTTGCTACGTGAGCATGGACTCTCGAATGCAAATTTAACACTCGCGCCTATCGGTTCTGATTGCTACGAGATACACCCAAGTGATAATGCGTTGCTCGAGGGCAAGGGCAAGAATGGATTACCCACAGTCAAGGAGTTTCAATCACTAGTTGGATCGCTACTCTGGGTTGCGCGATGCACGCTGCCCGACATTGTGTTTGCGGTCCACAAAGCGACACGTCAAACTCATCAACCACTACTTCACGATCAGAAGCTAGCAGAGCGGGTGGCGCGCTATCTAACAGGCACGAAGTCGATGAAACTCAACTTGACACCAAGCGAAAATGACGGGATGTCGATTGTGGTTAAAAATTATAGCGACGCGGATTTTGCCGCAGACAAAAGTGACAGGAAATCTCTGACCGGAGGTAGTGTACTTCTTAACGGTATGGCGGTCAGCTGGTGTGCCAAGAAACAGGGTGGTGTAATGCTATCGACAATGGAAGCCGAATTTGTGGCGGCATTAGAGGTGGCGCGAGAACGTTTAGGCATACGCAAAACGTATGCAAATTCGGTGCAGTGGCAAAATTGCCCATGTTATTGCATGTCGACAATCAAGCTGCTACTCGACAGCTTAAAGGAGAAGCGTCGTCGTTCAAGGCCAAGCATATTGACGTTCGAGCCAAGTTTGTTTGCGATTTTGCCCGATTGGGATTGTGCTGACACAGTACGTGCGATCGTAGGAAAAGCTGGCCGATTTGCTGACCAAGGCACTCGACGCGCCATGCTTGCGAAATTGCGTGCTTTAATGCGTGTTGGTCAGGACGGTAAGTCTTAGGAGGAGTGTTGGAAATTGTATAATTTCTGAGTTGGTTAGGCGTTATATGCTAGGTACGTATGTGCATGAAGAGGCGTGCTGCGGTGGTTGAAGTGGCGGCTAACTACTTAGGGCCTGTCGTGTTATTACCTTCGGCCAGCTTCGGCTGCAAAAAACTGCTTAGATGAACATGAGATGTAGAGAGGTATGAATGTGTTAGGTGGGGAACATTGCGTTCGGACTAATGTTACTCCTCATGGACGCTAACTACCACTATGGGGATGATGAATGCGAAATGCATGTGTCGAATGGGTGCGCATCTATACGTTTCACGGAGGATCGCAGAAGGCCGGTCGCACCATCTTTAAGGGTCACATGTTTGGTAACTTTTGATGTTGACCTTGTCAACGTACTTAGAATTTACAAGCTTTAGGATTTAGGGTTTAGGGTTTAGGGTTTAGGGTTTAGGGTTTAGGGTTTAGGGTTTAGGGTTTAGGGTTTAGGGTTTAGGGTTTAGGGTTTAGGGTTTAGGGTTTAGGGTTTAGGGTTTAGGGTTTAGGGTTTAGGGTTTAGGGTTTAGGGTTTAGGGTTTAGGGTTTAGGGTTTAGGGTTTAGGGTTTAGGGTTTAGGGTTTAGGGTTTAGGGTTTAGGGTTTAGGGTTTAGGGTTTAGGGTTTAGGGTTTAGGGTTTAGGGTTTAGGGTTTAGGGTTTAGGGTTTAGGGTTTAGGGTTTAGGGTTTAGGGTTTAGGGTTTAGGGTTTAGGGTTTAGGGTTTAGGGTTTAGGGTTTAGGGTTTAGGGTTTAGGGTTTAGGGTTTAGGGTTTAGGGTTTAGGGTTTA